AAAACACCACCTTGCGGTGTAAGATTCGATTGACTTGGATCCGATCTTGAGCGAAGTACCTTGCATGATTTTGTCAAATGGTTCTTCAACGTTGTGTTTCCTTCCGATGCAAGCAACTTTAGACACAGTTTACAACGTGCCCTCCTCGAGCCATTTGACATCTCACATAAATCGTAGTGATCCCAAATATCTTTGTTTCGAGTGTGTTCAATCACTCTCACGACTTCAAGGTTTTCCCCGACGGAAGATTCAGCCGTGTTACTCACGATGAACAAAAAATTACAAAAATAAGATTTGAGAGATGTTTAGGTGTTGTGTAATAAGTTTTGAGAAAGTTGTAATCAACCAAATACATCTCCAACCTATTTATACATGTTTAGGGTGGTAAAATGGTAATTTTTTAAAGAAACAAAACGGTCAAAAATGGTCACAAAACCCCCCAACGGCTAGTTTTTTAAACCCATACCGATTTTTTTCCGGATAAAAACCGGTTTATAACCGGGTTTTTTCAAATCGGTTTTTTATCCGGTAAAAAACCAGTTTAAAAAAATCCGATCCGGTTAAAAAAAACCGGGTTTTTCCCAAATCTGGTTTCGGATATTTTTTGTGCAAAATCGGGTATTCGGATTTTTTGTGCACCTCTACTCATCTGTAAAAGAATATTCTGTCTCTGAATTATTTAAAACATTGAATTATTATCAAAATTTGTTGCATGAAATAAATTATGATGCATTTTTGGAAAACATAAATTATTAATGTAAAAGTGAAAATAAAAATAAAAATATATAAAAGTGCTAGTAATTTTAAGTTCATATTCTGTTCGAACGTCTCAAGAGATGCTTTCCACGACCATTCTACAAATAACGTTCTTGAAAAACATTCGAGTAATAACACATAAAGGTATAAAAATTAATAGCTAAAAATAAATACATATTTAAACATGTAAAGGAACTATAATAATACAAATATAAATTGAAACATATAAATAGATATGCACGTAATAGAACACATAGAAATAAAAAAACATACAAAGAAGGCTTACAACAATTATATAATTTATATATACATACATACATAAAATTTTAATTGGCAATAAAACAAAGTTACAAATTTGGACCAAAATACATATATACAAACATGATAAACTAAAATACCAATAAAAGAATCTAATCATACCTAGTAAATAAGGACTAAATAACAAGAACATTAACTTTAGAGGCATAATAATAAACATATATAAAATCATAGCTAATGTGTAAACATCATATAACATGAGTACTAAAACATAAATAAATCGTAAAGCACATATAGGACTAAAATAAAACAAACCATAAATTAGTAAGGTAAATAAGAATTATACCTAAAAGCAACAATGTGCAAAACAATGACTGAAATGAAAGATTTATAAATATCATAACCAGAGTCCAATATCAATATCAATGCCAATAGCATAATATGTAGGATAATGGCTTAAATGAAAAAAATTGAAAGATAAGTGCTCGAAGTAAAATATCGCAAAGTTTCATTAATGGCTAAAACATAATATTACAAACGAGAAGTGACCTAAACAGAAATTAGCCCATGCACTAAAACACGCTGCCCTTCCCCTTGGCTAAAACATAGGCAAAAAACAGCCACTCTCTCCACCACTCTCATTTTTTTTTATTTTTTTAACCTTAAAAGGAGATAACTCTTTCCCCCTTTTCAGTTTTCCTCCGCCTTGAAAAGAGAAAGAAGCCACAACTACCGTAAATCGACGGTGAAGGTGAGCAAACCAACTCTATTTCATCTCTCTCTCTCTCTCTCTCTCTCTCTCTCTCTCTCTCTCTGTTTGTGTTCCCTTCCTGAAGTCCTACCCTTCTCCAAAACTACAAAATAAAACCCCAATCTAGGGTAAGAAATTTACAGTCGATGGTGGGGTATTTTGCTCTGGTGAAGCTGTGATGGTCGATCTTGCTGAAGGTAAACTTTTTTCTCAGTTTTTCATTTTTTGTTCTAATAAATCTATGTGGGTTGTTTTTTTCCCTATTTTTTCTCTCTTTTTTTGGTTTAAATCTGGTCCCCTAATGCTTTCTGCCCCCTTTCTTCTTCGGTTCCTCCCCCTCTTATCTACTTATATGTGATGATTTTATGAAAATTTTTGTTGCTACCGAGATAGGTTTGTGACAGATAAAGATTTCCTCGGGATTCTTTGGATTTGCTTCTCCTTTTTTATTATTTTTTTAGACTGAGTTGATTTTTGACTGACTTGGGTTGATGGATGGCTGAAATAGCAGTGTCAGAGTGATGATAGCGACAGTAGGGAGCTCCGATGACGGTTCACACGACGGGGAAGTCGAAGGGTCAGACGTGTGCACTACACGCGCCGGCTGATCGGACGGTCCACATCCAGTGATGGCGGCGGCTGGATGACAATTAGGGTTAAAACCCTAATCTGGGTCAACTTGGACTGTTGGATCAAATCTGATCCAACGACTGGAATCTAAGGCAGTTGGAGCTTTATGGTGAAAACCCTAGCGGGTTTGGGTTGGATGTTGGGCCTGGACTGTGTTGTAGTTGTGCTTCAGGTTAATGCCTGCAAAAAAATGTAAATAAATATTGTAATAATAATAATAATTTGAGAACCCGGACAAAAATGAGTGTCTACACAAATAAAATGTTAACGACATGAGCATCACTATCATTTAAAATTTTTAAAAATTAACAAATAATAAAAATAATTATATAAATAATTTATCAAATAAGTAAAAATTGATTGAAATTAATAAAATATAAGAATTTTATAAAAGTAAAAATTTAAACTTTTTTACTGGACAAAGTTTATCAAATAATTGAAAATTGGTTGAAATTAATAAAAAATTAAAATAATATAAAAGTAAAAATTTTCTTTTTTCATTTCCGACTCTGTTGTCGTTCCTCTAATATATTTTCAATAAATTTAATTTTACATTAGAACAATTATCCGAGCTTTTTTGAGTTTGGTGCTCATGAATCTGAGTTTTGAGTCTCAAAATTTTTAAACTAAAACCATAAGTAATTAGAAAACTCTCATCTATTTAATCATATATTGAACTATTAGAACATACAATACGTGATGAAGTTTTAACTCAAAATGATTGATATCTGACGTATTATTAAATTATGATTCCGTTGAATCCCGTATCAATTATAGAACCAATTATTATAATTATGAAACCCATATGAGAAATGGAGGAATATGTTATTCTTTTGTACTATTGATATTATTGTAGTGTCATAGTTACATATATTACGGTACAATTTATTTTTTAAAAATTATAGTAACATTTTTAATTACAAATATAGTTACAGTATTATAATAACTCTAAAAACAGTTATGATACGATTATTATGTTACGTAATAACCACAATTTAATATTATAATTTATGATGTTGACACTAAACATGCTTCAAATATTAAGAATATGTAAATTTATCATAAATTCAAATATTAAAATACAAATCAATTTAAAATTGTTTTATTATTATTTTTATATTAAAATATATGAGTTTATCATCGATTCGAATTATATTTGAAAGTATTATAATTTTAAATTTGGGAAATCTTATATAATTACTAAATAAATATAAAATATAAATCTTTTGGTACATTATTAAAAAAAATATTTTTTTATTTTTTTGTTTTAAAACCACTCCCTACTGAGATTACGCACCATTACTGTTTGCTGGTGCTAAGTGAAATAAAAAAACAAAGGTTTAATTTTGCTTTCAGTCCTTATACACTTTACACATTTACAATTTAATCTCTCTAATCTCAAGATTGTAGTCCCCATACATACGTAGTTATTTTAATTATTGGATTGATAATACCGTAAAAATATTTCTATTAAAATGGATTATAAGATGATTTTAAGTTAAAAAGTCGTTTACACAATAAATATTACATGTCCACAAGATATACAAGACTGAGACAAAACTAGATAACAAACGTTCTGATAGCTACTAAAAGTATTGATCCAATTGACAAAACCATGTTCAAATCCCTTATGAAATTTAGAGGATGCTTCTACAAACTGATTATAAGACATTGTTTTTAAGGGTAAATTACGTCGTTAACAAAAAGACTAAAGGTGGTCGGGTGTCACTGTTGGCCACCTTCGACCATCGTAAATGGTGGTTATTCGATCTCAAATTTCATGGGTCGCTTCACCTCGACACCATAAGTCCGAATTCAACCTCCATTTTGTCGAAACTTACTCCGAAGTCCATAAATTTGAGATTGAAAGTGAGAAACCTGAAACATTTTAATCTAGAATCACGAGGTTTGTGATATTTTCCGGTGAAATAACCACCAGATTCAGACTCAGGGGTTGAGATTAATCGACTCATGAAATTTGAGATAGAATGGTCACCATCAACGACGGTAGAAAGTGATCGGAATGAAAATGGTGTGGTGGCCGGTGGCGGCAAACTTTGAAAGTAGAGAGAAAATGGAGGGAAAGAAAAAATAAAAAATTAAGAAATGAAGAAAAAGGATTTTATAATGGATTCCAAACGCTGTCGTTTTGGTGTATATTTGAGTTTTTCAAAACGCCGTCGTTTTGATGCTTTTGTCATTTCTTGTGACATGTCATAGCACTGTTAAATAGTTAACGATAGAGTGAGTAAAAAATTCAATTTTTAAAGTTTAGTGAGCAAATTAGAAAAGCTGAAAGTTGAGTGAGAAAAATAGGAAAGAGTATAATTCAGTAAGAAACAGTATAATTTACCCTTTTTTAATCCAAATTTATGGGATTCAATTTGTAGGGACTAAATGTTAAATATGTGAAGGGTACAAGGATTGAGAGAAGAATTAGACTATATATATATATATATATATATATATATATATATATATATGTATATATGATTTTCAATTTCGGTTATTTTTTTTGAATTTCTGCTTGAATCCTCTGAAATTTGGACTCTTTTCTGTAAAATCTATAAGAGAATTGGAGGTTAAGAATTCAATGGAAAATACAATGACTACATTGAAGAATTTGAAACAGCTGATAATTTCTCTCGAAAATATGACCATGAGAAAGAAGAAGAGAGAACGTAGTGATATCATCCATCTTCATGGCTCAGAAGACTTTTACATCAAGCTTAAACTCATCCTCCGTCGGAAGTGCCACCGTGTCTTCTCATTCATATCCGCCGTGTCCGGTTGTCTTCTCCTCTTACTCTTCTCCGTCTCCGTTTTCTTCCCTCCGCCTACCGCTACTAATCTCTTCTTCCCTCGCCACTCTTCCGTACGTCACTCAACACTGCCATCTCCTTCGTATGATATTCGTGTGTTTGATTTGTCGAACTTCGAAAAGTAGAATTATATTCTCCGATTCTTTTTCGTTTGCAGGTGGTGGAAGAAAGAGCGGCGTTTCGAGTTCCGGTACGAGTTAGAACCGCAGTAGGAGCTGAATGTTGATTTTTGTTTTCGATTTTGATGACTTGTTTGGATCTTAAATCAGAATTGATTAATTGATTTTGGTGTTTTCTAGGCAAGTGGAGGGAATTTAAGTCGTGATTTATGGAGTTCGAGTCGATCAAAGTTCTATTATGGATGCAGCAACGCCTCGAACAAGTTTCAAAGTATTCTAAATTTAAATCCTTACTTTACTATTTATTAGAGGATCATGTACTCTTTAAGTTGTATTTTCAATTTCAGAATTGGTTTCATCTGTTTGTTCATTTACTAATTGTACTTCATTTTATTGATTTTTATTACGTTTTAGCTGCTGATGTGAAAACACGTCCGGACCGATACTTGTTGATTGCTACCAGTGGAGGGCTAAATCAACAGCGAACAGGGGTGACTTTTCTGAATCCGTACATGCTTATTTGATTTGAGAGAGCTAATATTGATTTCTGAGTTGCTTATTGATAATTTTCATGGCTACAGATCATAGATGCTGTTGTTGCAGCATATATATTGAACGCAACTCTAGTCATTCCCAGGCTAGACAAGCAATCCTATTGGAAAGATACCAGGTCTGGTGTTATCGTCTTCGTGTTTAATCTTCAATGCAGGGGAATGGTTTGTGTTCTATGTGTTGGTATGTGATGGGGTTTCTTTGATGCAGTTGTTTTGCTGAAATATTCGATGTCGACTGGTTCATTTCGTCTCTCTCTCGGGATGTCAAAATCATCAAAGAGATACCAACAAAGGATGGTAAAGCTTGGATTCCACGTACCATGCGTGTCCCTAGGAAGTGTGATCCGGAATGCTACAAGACTCGTGTTCTACCTGTTCTACACAAAAAGCAGGTAACTAATAGGTTGAAATTAGCTGTTCTACTCATTTGCTAATTGCTGGTGTGAATCAAATGCTAAGTTTATTTGATGAAGTTTTGAGAATTTGTTGGTAAAATGTGTTAAAAACTAGTAACTGTTATTGTCTCTCTCGGATTGTTCATCGGTAATGGAATCTGTTCCTGTTGCAGGCTGTTGAGCTTACAAAGTTCGATTACCGGCTTTCGAATGGTTTGGACCCAGATTTACAAAAACTGAGATGCAGGGTAAACTACCATGCTCTAAAGTTCACAGATCCGATTCTTGAAATGGGGAAACTCTTGGTTGAAAGAATAAGGATGAAAGCCAAGCATTTTATTGCCTTGCACTTGAGGTACTTGATGGAATTTGGCTGTTGCAATGGTTGCACTCATTTTCTTAAGGTTGATGTATCATTTGCAACAGGTTTGAACCCGATATGCTCGCGTTTTCTGGATGTTATTACGGTGGAGGAGACGAAGAAAGGGCGGAACTCGGTATGATCCGGAAAAGGTGGAAAACTTTACATGTAAGGTCTCCGAAGCCGTTAATGACATATCTGAATCCTAAATATGTTCTGAATGAGCATTAAAACATGTTTATTCTGGTGTGAACTGCAGGTGGACCCTGAAAAAGTACGAAGGAAAGGAAAATGCCCGTTGACACCGGAGGAAGTCAGTCTAATGCTAAGAGCATTGGGGTTTGGAAGTAATGTTCACGTTTATGTGGCATCAGGTGAGATATACGGAGGAGAAGAGTCGTTGGCACCGTTCAAAGCACTCTTCCCTAATTTTCATTCAAAGCAGACCATTGCCACTAACGAGGAGTTGGCACAATTTTCCTCTTTTTCCGGTCGGATGGCAGCACTGGATTATATCGTTTGTGACGAAAGTGACGTGTTCGTCACAAACAATAACGGAAACATGGCTAGAATGTTATCCGGTCGGAGGTATGCAAGTGCAGACGTCCGATGAAACTCTGTAAACGAATCACATCGACAACATGTCATCAAACTCTTTTTTTTCCTATTGCAGGAGATACTTTGGACACAAACCAACAATTCGACCCAATGCTAAGAAGCTGCACAAATTGTTCATGGACCGAAACAATACGACATGGGAAGAGTTTTCGTCTAAGGTTCGAACTTCTCAGATCGGCTTCACGGGAGCTCCGAAGGAAGCTCAACCCGGGAAGGACGAGTTTCATGAAAACCCAGATAGCTGTTTATGTCAGACCGAAGGAGTTGAAACAATTCAGAATCTAACTTCTGTGGAACATGAAAAGAAGAACAGGATGGATGCTCTTCAAATGAGTTATGAATATGATCCAGATTGGATCGATGATGATTATTTAGATAGCATTGGTGTGTACAAGGGGCTGCCTTATAGGGAAAGCAGTGTGGTTGAAGAGTTCAGTATAGACTAAATATTCTTGAATTATTTCGGATTAGAATCATTTCGGGTTTGAGTTTAGTTTAGATTGATTGATTGATTTTCCCCTGCAAATGTAATTGTGTACATGAAAAAGCCGGTGAAAAGGCAATAGTTGATTGAGGTTAGGACATCATTAGTTGGCAGATAATAAGCCATCGAGTAGAAGAAGCTTACCGCCATACTTGATTTAGTCATTTTGAATTAATTTTTGATTTTTTAAATTTGAGTTGAGTAAAAAATTTATTTTGAACAATTTGATTATCAACTAACAAAATATCCTTCTACTAAATTTATAATTTTTTTCACCATTACAAAATGATTAACCTATGTAAGACATGCATACCTATCTTTGGTATGTAATTTTTTTTTATAAAATAATTAACTCAAATAATATATTCAATTTAAACTTCAATAAATTCGACTTAATTTTTAACAAAATAAATTTGAACCGAAATTAAAAAATAAAATTCGTCAACTTGAATAACTAATTTTTTTATTCAATCCGATTAAATATTCAACTCTATTTAATGTTATTCATCATACATCACACAATAATTATAGAATTTTTAGAGTATAATCGTTAGGTATCTAACTTAGCCTGCAACAAATCATCCTAGGCTAAACCACAAACATCCAAAAGCCTGAGAGATCTATTCAACAATTCGTCGTCAATGGAGTTCTGGCCTCAAGGAATTTTGTGTGTTAGGCAATTGAAGCCAACCATCAACCAATTCATACCGATCTCTAAGGCCATTTAATTTTCCAGTAGTCGATGACGACGATTAAGTGGTGGGTTCATTGGTAGAAAGCTGAAGAAGACATCTTCTGTTTAGAGATGAAGAGGCTAAGGGGATTATGTGGCGGGTGGATCAGGTTGAAGGGAAGAACTCTTACGGTACAGATCTATTGAATTGTGTAAAATTATACTTCTACAATTAAATGAAATTAATCAGGACTAACCTAAGTTTTTTCTTAATATTATTGTGTCGTATTTTATTCTCCCTTTCATTTTTATTTAATTGGCGATGACATCAAGTTTTTTATCAGTTATCGACGCCGGTGATTATTAGTTCTCTTGATTTCCTTTTCCTTAAGTTTTTTCTTTCAATTTTAAATAAGAATCTTGTCCTTATGACAATTTATTTTTGCACTTGTGGTACATTTTTTCTCTGCTCTTGTGTCATGTTCCTTATGACTTTTGGTACTTTTTTCGCATACCTTTGCGGTCGTTTTGGTGCTCGCACAAAAATTCTTATGATATTTGTTTTGGATTTATTTGCAAGTAGTAACTTTTAGTTATCTTCTCTTTGACAAAAAGTTGTTTGCCGATACAATCAGAATTGTATGTGAAGCAACTTGTCAAATAGTTTGGTTCGCTCAGCACTCTTTTATCGCTTAGTAAAGTATTTCGTCTGACAAAGACAATGCATTTTTTTATGAAGGTTAGTGGCTTCTTTTGATGTTGGATGTCATTCTCAATGGAAGATTTTATTATTCTTTATATCATTGGATGTAATATTTTTATTTTTGTATGAATTTTTTTGTTTGTGACTATTGTCCTCATTTTTCTCTCTATGTGTGGTAACGATATAATTATAATTCATTCCATTGTTTTCATTAATGAAATCCAATTGTCATCATTTAAAAAATGTTAATTAAGAACAATAAACTTAGTTTGAGTACATTTATTTCTATACAAGTTTTATTTATATTCAAGTATTTATCTCTATAAATAAATATTTATTAGGAAATTTGGAAGCAGAAAAATAATTAAAGTGATATCAACGTAAAATAAGACATTGGCAAGAGATGATATTGCATATATTCACGGGCGAGCAGAACAATAATCTACTATAGATGTAGAGATCATGAATAGTACAAATACATGTTATCTCGTATATCTTAAATTCTGATATATATACCGGAATCCGGAGTATCCTAAATCACTAACTCAATATCCCTACAAATATCTATCTTTGTAATTTTTAGGGTTTATATAGCCTAAAAATCTATCATATATCACATAGGAATTATTGCCTAAAATAAGTATTTACTTATTAAATAAACTCAATTATCAAGTAATCTCCAACCATTAGAATTATAATAAAATATAATTTAATTACAAATTATAACTTGTCTCAAAATATAACAATACTAGTGATTAAAGGATTATAAGTGATTTGATTAACGCTAAAATAGCATATATTTGTAATTATCTTGTAATATCTCTCTCGATATAATGAAAATTTGTCATCTACCAATAATTTTCCATATTAAAAAAATTCACATAAATCTTGGTATCTTATTTTCTCCTAATTTTATTCCGTGATCGTTTATATTTATTATTATTGTCGTATTACATATAATTATGAAGGTAAGTGGACAAGGGTGTTAAAGACAATGGAATTGTCTGAGTACGCACACGAGCGGCATTGTAGTCTTGCATACATGCAACCTAACTTCTTGCCTGAACTATTTTCTAGTAATTTTTTTTTTGTTTCCAATAGAAATTATTAAAAATTGAGCACGTATGGAACTGGAATCTTGTCCCTTATACGCCATATCTCTGGCAGATACGTAGGATCATTTTGCATCAGAAGGAGACATTGGCCACATTGCCACTCTGCTCAATAATTAAGCATCCTTTCTATAAAAGAAATGTGTTAGCTCATCATATTACTTGTGATTATTGTGATGGGAGACATTGAGCAGACATCGGCAGCGAAACTCCTCGAAATCCAGATCAACATCACGTTAGGATTCATGGAGATTGCAGATGAGATTCCTTTTGTCTCCTCATTGCATTTATATAGGATCCTAGCTTGATGGGAATGCTGCATTCACCATTGAGCCTTTAGCCATTTGATCTTAAAACAAAAAGATAAAAGAAGATGGATTCTTCAGCTTTGAACCAGAAATCCAGCTTCCATGCTCGCTCAAACAGCTTGCCTTCTGCACCTCATCCACTTATTCCTCAAATAGATGAGCATTTATGCAGGTTGAAATCCAATGAAGCCGCCACTTCTTTGTCATCGATTACCAACAGATTAAATGGCCTTAGAGATCTGTATGAGTTGGTTAATAGTTGGCTTCAATTGCCTAGCACACAAAATTCCTTGGTCCAAAACTCCAATGACAACGAATTCTTGAATGGATCTCTCAGGCTCTTGGATGTTTGTGGTTTAGCCAAGGATGCTCTGTTGCAGGCCAAGGAAGATACCCAACAACTTCAATCGGTTTTTCGAAGAAGAAGAGGTGACGATTCCGGGTTCGCAAATGAAGTTAAAGCATACTTAGCATCAAGGAAGAAAGCCAACAAGTTGATAAACAAGTCTCTGAAAGATTTAAAGATCAGTAAATGTGGTGGTGTTGAAGCTATATTTAGCATGTTAAGAAATGTTGAAGGAGTTACTTTCTCAGTGTTACAATCGGTTTTTTGCTACATAACTGCATCGATCCCAGAACAAAAATCTACCAACTGGTCTTTGGTGTCGAAGTTGATGCACTCGAAGCGCATAACCTGCGAGGGACGAGCTTCGGGGAGCAACAAATTCGAGATAGTGAAAGCAATTTTGTGCAGTCTCGTTGGTTCCAAGACTAAAACCGAGAACGTACAGATTGAGTTGCAGAATCTGGAGTCAAGCATTCAAGACGTCGAAGACGGAGTCGAATGCCTGATTAGACTTTTGATTAAAACTAGAGTTTCTATTCTCAACATCCTCAGCCATTAACTGCTTGATATTATAGCAAATGGCATTACAAATGGGAAAAAGAATCCCACAATTTTGCATATACTGCATATGTTGAAAGAAACCAAATCAAGCAATTTGTATTCACACAAAGATTTAATGTCAATTGAACATCTTGTTATCATCTCAAATTGTTGTCATCACAATGAGAGCAACCTTCTTTTGCAATGTCGGTGATCTGAACTCTGGAATCGTAAACGATTCCGGTTTTCCAGTCAGCTGGAAGCACAGTTTTGGCCCAAATCCACTTCCCATCAAACCCAGAGGTTATCACAAATCTAAATTGCAATGCACCATTTGGAACTCTGCTTGTATCCCACACTGCCCCATACTTCCTCTTCATGAAACTCCAGTTTGAAGAACCAACCTGGAATGATAATGTAATTTGGTTTAAGTTCGCAAAAAAACACATAACACGCCACAATCTTTCGAGTTCGGGTTAACCTGAGATATATCAATGGCTACTATCTTCGATTCTAACAGCTAAGTTCTGGTTTCTATATCCACAAGGTATCCTGTTTCACAAAGATAATAGGAAATTCACTCACCATCAATAAAGTTCGATAGAGTTTGACATGAATTCGATCTGACTAGGCTAACCTTTTGTATTCAACATCAACAGTCCCGAGTTTCAAAATGTGTTGCCCCATGCCATGTTTAGCCATGGCCATGAAAGCTCTGCTGCTAAGAACAAAATCTGTTTCATTACCTTGATTGATATCAGTTAATGTCACCCTTGTCCCTTTACAGCTACATAGAGTTGAATTCTTGCACCTTATCTGCAACAAATATGTTCAAAAATGAAATTTCAACACTCAAAGAGAACAATACCGATGTAAAAAACAATCAGTTTTTTTTTTCAAAACAGTATATAGAAACCTGAAAGCAGGAACCGCAACCTGCTCCATCTTTGTAAAGAGAAGAACCACCGGCAGCAAGGTGGCCACGGCTTAAGCCAACTGCCAAGGAACCATATCCACAAGCACCAGCTGCAATATCAAAGCCACAAATGACCAAATATAAAAAGCTACCCACCAAATCTCTCACTGAAATACGATCTGGGTATTAATCTTATCAACAGAAAAAGCAAAAAAGGGCCAGGAAAATGCAGGTGTTTACATGAAAGTGCAGAGGCTTTGTTGAAATAAGCAGCCTTGGATTGGTGCAGACAGCGATCACAAGCAGTGGCAGACGAAAGGAAAATTAATAATAAGCAAAGCAAGAGAGCCATTTGTGTAAACACTATCTGTTTTGAGTTTATTTATTGGAATGAACAATGGCTTCTATGCATGGAGAGAGACAGAAAAGAAATGGATTTTGTCACCCACACTGTTGGTGCTTAACATAATACTAATACAATAGGTTTAGATTATTGATATGTGTTTGATACGAATATATAATAATTTGAAAATGATTTTAATATTAAATAATTAAAGTAAATTTAATTTTTTATCAGATTTGTGTGATTAAAAGTAGGTTAGACATATGGACCCAAAGTATATAATTCATTGAATTTTGATACATTACCTAATTAATCATGTATATGAGTGAGAAGATAGTATTGGCAAATATGATACTGATAAGCACAAATTCCAAGGCCTAAGCAAAGCATATTTCCCGAACATGAAGAGATAATGTGGGCTATATGTACAGATAAAGTCTTTACCTTTTTAACTAAATCATTAATCTTTCCACCTCAATCTTTGTTATTTAATGTTATCAATATATTAAATATTTTATACAAAATATATTCTCAATCATAAATATCAAAATTTAAATTTCTAATCTTATTTATGATATTTAGTGTCTCATCATACTAAACTGATTATTAGATAGATTACTCAATCATTAGTTTAATTATAAATTTATTATTTAATTAAAATATTATTACAATTTGCTTGTTCTTCCCCAAATAAATTATATTACGCTTCTGGTGTAATAACAATGTAGCAACTTGTTATTGCTTTATGATAGAATGTACTTATTCAATTATTATTTTGATCTAGTGGACTTACTTGGTTTTATCGATTTCACAGAAAATGACTAAGTTGATGAAATTTCTAAATATGAAGATTAAACTCATTAAGTTATTTTAAATTCAACCCAAATTGATAAAATGTATAAGTTTTAAGGATTAAGACTATTATTATATCATAGCATATTACAAAATTATTTCAATTTTAACGATGATATGTTATGTTTATAATGATATTTTAATTGAATGATGAAATTTAACTTTTAAAAAATATTCATTTTTAACCAAATTAATATTTAAGTGATTTGAGGTATATTTTATGTAACATCCCAAATTATGGATTAGTGACCAAATTGTAAAGTTTCAGAATTTGATGACTAAAGTAGAAGAATGAAATAGTTCAATGATTATTGGATATATATGATGAAGGTTATTTAGTAATTATTAAAGGAAATAAAGGGTAAAATGGTCATTTGATCATTTAAGGAAAAAAATGGAATTATATACACGTGGAAAGGGAGAGAATTCTCCAGAATTCTCTTCTCCTTTCTTCTTCTTCTTCTTCACGTGGAAGCCAAGAGCAAAGGCAAGTTTGATTTAGCTTTTGATTTCTTGAAAATTTTAAGTTGGATTTGAGTCTTTGAGGGTTATATAAGCTTAAGGAAAGCTTATATAAGTTTAAAACACCAAAGAGATAGAATTAGAAAGGAATTTCTATTAAGGGTTTATAAATGAACTTTTGTTATAGAAAGGTTTTTGAAGTTCTAAAGTTGGATTTGACTTGCCATCAGCTTAATTAAGAAGTATTAAGTGTTAGAATTGGATTTGAAACATGTGGAAAATAGGGTATGATTCTTGAAATTCCTAAGGAGGAGAGGATATTAAGGTTAAAGATGAGATAAATGAATATTAATGAGTTTAATTATGTATATGAAAGTTAGGAATATGAAAGGGTGGAAATATGAAGGATTTAATCCAAAAAGAAGGATTTTTCGGGTTCAAAAAGAGGTTCTGGGCAGAGTGCATCGATGCATATTCATAGTGCACCGATGCATCAATGTTAAAACCCAGAAATTGTTTGAAGGTGCATCGATGCATTGGTAGTGCATCGATGCACTCTTTTAAAATAAATACATCGAATGCAATTTGTGCATCGATGCATAAGTAGTGCATCGATGCATCCCATTAATAAGGAAACATCGAATGCAATTAGTGCATCGATGCATAAGGCATGCATCGATGCATCCCAGTAATAATACAACATCGAATACATTTTATGCACCGATGCATCAGTAGTGCATCGATGCATACCTTCATTAAAAGATGAAATTGACTTTTCTCTTGGTCTAAAGAGTGAACCATTAGAGTATATTAGTTATAATACTAATATAGATCTACGTATGATGATGTAGATGTAGAACTTGATTCCGTTCCGGATCAATTGAAGGATTATAATCGAATCAAAGCAAAGCTAAGGTGAGTGCATATTCTCTAGTAAATGAGGTTCAAGGGAAAATAAGACTTGTGATAAGTCTATTTCCAATAGTGAAAAACATGAATTCATAGAAGTATGTATTTGTTATGATTTATATGTGTGCATGGGTATATGTGTTATTGATATGAATATGGTAAGTAAAAGGGATTAATGGTGATGATAAGAATAATAATAAGGATAATGAAGTGATAGGTATATGTGAATATAGGTATTGATATGTTTTGTATGTATTGTAAGATGATATGTCTATGTGGTAACATGATAAGATGACAATGAGTTACATGTCATAGGAACACATGAGAAATGTTATGAGCCATATGAAAGAGAAAGTATATGTGATACATGAGGGTGAATCCTATGTGACATATGAATATGAATTCATATGAAAAGTGACATGAATTACATGAAAGAAACTACGTGATTACATGTATATGTGAATGAAACCATGAGCTTATATGAATATATGATATGGTTACATGAATATGTAAAAGGATATAAAAGATAATGCCCATGTTATGTGTCATGAGAGCTAGGGGTATAGTTGGCATGCCAAGATTCGAGGGTCTATGTGGTCATTCGGGATATATATGTATTCTTTGGAACATGTGTGAAGTCTGGTGAGACACATACTTGATCCCTAGTATATGTATATGATTCTTAAGGAGTGATATGTGGTCCTTCGGGATATATATGTATTCTTTGGAACATGTGTGAAGTCTGGTGAGACACATACTTGATCCCTAGTATATGTATATGATTCTTAAGGAGTGATATGTGGTCCTTCGGGACATTATTATATGGCACTACGGTGCAATTCTACGCGGCACTCCGGTGCAATTCTACGTGGCACTTCGGTGCAATTATATGAGCTGTGGTGACAGCATTAGTGCACAACCTCTATGTACTCGCATATCTTTAGTTCTCATATGAGTATCATGGTCTATTAAATAGATAATATTAATAAAGTGATAGGATAATATGTTTGTTCCCTTGTGGAATTTCATGTGTGATATTGATTGTACAAATGGTAACTTATAAGACTATAAGATGAAAAGAATCAATGATAGTGATAAAATAAGAAAGAAATGAAGATGATAATATAATTGATTGAGTGCACGTGTTTTATGATAATAACTATATATGGTTTACATGACATGGTATGTGTATGTGCAATTGGTTATGGTATATGTTATATGATATGGACATAAGAGATCATAGGAACATGAGATAAGATATATGAATGATAAGGACATATATGTATGCATATATTCGTTACATGTAAAAGTATGAGTGGTATGAAATGATAGTAAGAATTGTTTAGGTATGATTATTAGTTACCGTTTACCTTATAAGTTTTTATGCCTCACTAAGTCTTCGACTTAGCGTGTGATTGTTTCACACGTAGGTTTCGAGAAGAGTAAAGAGTAATGCGGAGCAAGACAGGTCAGTTCTCCTTACTAAATGTTAGATCAGAAAATATATGTACTGGTTATAGAGTGTAGTTGGCATGTAGTCTAAAGATATAAATTGTATGAACTCTGATATATTTTGTAAAC